CCATTCTGTATATGATAAATTATTTGTTTATTCTAACAATATTTATATTGCAGCCCAGGAAGAAATACAAAAGTGGTATGCGGCATTCAAAGATTTGAAAATTACCGACCAGAAGAAAAACTTTAACACCGATCTAATAGAAAGTCTAGAGCTTCAGAATATGTTACAGGCTGCAGTTCAGGTGGTTGCCTGCGCCAGAAATCGAACAGAAAGCAGAGGTAGGTTTTACTAAGATTAATCCAATAAGGCATGTTTTGGAGGAAGTCCATCTACCTATAGAAGAGAAAGGAAGTTTTGTCTTTCCAGCCCTTGGCCCCTGTGGCAACCACTTGGTCAGATCTCACACGCGATTTCTTATAGTTTCAATTTATTTATTTTATCTGAATCAAAATAATAAAAAAACCCTTTTTTTTGCCCATAAGTTTGACAGTTGTTGTCTATACAATGTAACGATTATTTCCATTTAATGACAATTAGAGTTTGCAATGTACGTACTTATTATAAGAATCACCCCTCGAATGGTCGAACATGTTTAAACCGGGGTTAAATTGTTTCAAGTAGGAAAGTCAGCTATTTCCCACCTATCTTGACTTGTACTGTAATAAACTAATTAGGATTTAAGTTATACTATTTTCTACTTTCAATGAAATAAAGGTGTTTGGTGCGACAATAAAGTTCATTGTATTTATTATTTATAAATATTCACGTTTTTTTTAAATCCAATTAAATTATATCTAGATAAAATTAAAAATAGCTCGGGTATGAGTGGGTAGCCATTGATAGTTACCAATTCCTTTGCTCTAACATAAATCAATGTGAATGTTTCAGGTGCACACTTTCGAGATGACTTTCCAAAGAGAGAAGATGAAATGGACTACAGTAAACCGACAGAAGGACAGGTATACTGATTTGTGCATAATATATACATATTACATATATAACTCGAACATTGGCATGTGTAAGCCAAAAAGTAGAGGTTTGGGTGGCACGGACCAATCGGTTCAGTTTAGTAAACCGACAGACTGTTTTGACAAATTAATATGCCGCGCGGCAAATAATAACAAAAATAAAAATCTAATTAGATTAAAAAAACTTCGCTCACTCCAGTGAACTAATTTTTTATTTAAAATTTAATTTAAAAAATTGTACTTATTAAATACGTATAATATAATTTACGTTCTTCATATGTAGCTAGTATCTTAATAATTATAGGAAGGTAGTTACTGTGTTTAATTTTCGTATGTTGTTATTTCCACAGACAGCGAAGCCCATAGAGAAACATTGGCGTAAACACAGCATATCTCACCTCGATCTCGCGACCGGAAAAGTAACTATTAGCTATAGACCAGTCATAGACAAAACCTTGGACGATGAAGTTCAGACGATTCCCCCTGTACCCAGAGTTTACTAGTATTTACTTTTAGTCTTAATGTATGCCATGAGAAAAAGGTTTTATGTTGGTTTTATAATATTCAAAGAAACTTATGAGCATTAATTGGTTGTGTTTTTATTTCCATTTGTACCTAAAACGTTCTAGGTTCGTTATAAATGTTGGTATAAGTTTACTTTATAGTAAGCCCACAATCGTGATATAGCGAATAATTCTACACCATTTTGTCATCGAATTATTATTTATTGACATACGAGATTCACAACGCAACGTCACTCTGAGATCCCAGTGCACTTCCAGGAATTTTAAAGAAACGCTTTTCATGTTCAATAAAATGGAAATTTCCTTTGGGTTTTACCTATACTTAGAAAGTATTACTGTTATAAAAATACATTTTACACTTTATTATTTTAATAAGAACGTGGTGAAAGAAAAATATTGAATCCTTATTGTACATTGTCAAAAGTATCAGATATTCTTGCTTTGCGAAAATATTTTCGTTGATAGCATTTGTTCCTGTTCATATTTTGCTCTAGGCTATGTATAATCAATTTTTAACAGCCACGAAGCGGATCGTTTTTTTCTGCGAACTATCAAACGGATGTCTGGCAGCTTCACTGGCTGTACAAACGAACGGTATGATGGTATGTCCGAACCAGACACGTCGATATTGTTCATTTATAGACTGTACCTTTACTTTTTAAAGTGAGCCAAAATCAAAGCAATGCAAATAGAAGCCGGAATTTGAAAATGCCAATAATTCTTTTGGTTTTTTTTTAACTTTGCACTAATTGGTCTCGGATATCTGTGTTTGTTTTGTGAACATTCGCGTTTATAGGGAAGTAGGTGATTAGCTTTCAGTGCCCCGAGTCTCAGGTTTCCTCGCGATGTTACGAATGAGCTTTGCGAAAGTCCACTGGTGTACAGCCGGGGTCCGGGGGTAAACTAAGGCCTCAGGCCAACAGTGCTCATTAAAAAAAAATATTGCAACTTATGGCTTCTTGGGGTGGGGTAATGCAGCTGACATTAAATCGATATTTGTAGTGCAAAAGCGGGCTATAAGAGCGATTTGTGGTTTGTCCCCACGGGAGTCAGTCCGAAGGAAGTTTAAGGAATTACATATTTTGACTTTGGCAAGTCAATACATTTATGAGAATATTTTGTATGTGCGGAAAAATATAGATATCTTTAAAAAGATTAGTAGCTTCCATAATTATAGTACTCGTAATAAAGACAAAATTAGCGCACCAACCACAAGGCTGCATAAAACGAGTCATTCTTTCCAAGGCAATTGTATACGTTTTTATCAACAAAATACAGAGTGAGATACAAGTGATATGAATTTTTCCAGTATATAAAGGTAACGCGACTGCATCTCTAGGCTGCATTTCTAGACTCTAAGGCGATCGTTAACATCCACGACTTTTAATGTAAAGTGGGAACAAAGTACAAACCGTGATCCATGTGGTATCAAATAATTTCAGTATATTCTTATGTAGCCAAGTTCACATTACGATCCTTGAAATGTGAACGCTCTCTTAAAATGTCATTGCTTGTGGCGGCGTCCATGCGTCCGATGTCTCTCTCCCTAAAATATAGCGAGGGGGCCGATGGCTGGCCATGCGTCATACTCATGAACGAGTGCTACTTGTGGTGACTGGTCGTACTTAAATTTGCGTGTTGTTCCCACGAGAATGCAAGTGCGTGCTCCTATTTCACCCTGCCTCAGCCATCAGCAGGCTGATAGAGGACAAAATACCTTTGTTTTTAATTTATTTTAATATTATCTATTACTTAAGATGACATGTGGAACATGTTGTAATGGTTGCAAAACTTTTAAGACAAAGAATGCTGCGATAAACTAACAAAACCTAATTCATTAGGTCTTTCTCTAAGTACCATACGCTTAACTCAGTTATTTTAGCACAATAGATTCATTCATTAAAATGTATTTGTGCCATACAGCTTTACAAATTTAGATCGTGAATGTATTAGTCGTATCTATAGCTGAATTTATTGTGGACATCAAAGAATCAAGGAAAAATCGAACTGTGCAGTGTGCGTTGACACCTGTTGTACCTAATGCAAGTACCGTTGTATGAATAGGTCCGTGCAACCCTTTGTCTACGTACAATATGGATCGCCTTGGGTAAACTGGGTTGTTGTTACATGACATCTTTAAATAAAAATATGGTGGAATTGTTTTTTAGAGAACGAGAGCGATTGCGCCACCGGCGTTTTACAAATTGAATCGCTCTAGGTCGATGCTACTTTACCCGCGTAGCAGCTATCGCCTTTAATTACTGTTATGTCTTTTTACGAACTTTATCCTCATGTTCACGTGACTAGATTCGGTCATAGTGTGATTTTGTAAAAAAAAATAAGTCTTAGATTTCATATATTATGTATAATATATGAAATTATTAAATTAAATTATATTAAATCGTATCGTAAATTCGTAGCTCACGAACGTTAACGTAAACGTAGAGAAAATGCTTTGACAGCTCCTAAGTGTACATTTTAGCTTGATTGACGTTCTAGATAAGGAGCCATAGTTTCTTAAAATCCATCTCCTTTTTAAGATGTTTAAAAAACAAGTATATTATGTATTACCGACAAATATACATTTCCTGGCGAACAAGGCCGCAAGGATGTTAAAAAATATCAAGATAATACAGGATATAGGAATATGTAATATGTACAAGTCGTCGGAAATATCTGCGAACCTGGCTTAATGACGTCATACAAACTGGAGAGATAGCAAAAAAATTGAAGATGTAAAAATAAAAAATATTTTATTTGTGTACCTACTTATTTTTATTGATACTCGTACCTACCCATCTTACATACAGCACTAAATAGGTAGTTTATGTAATATTTCACCAAACAGAGAAACAATAAACACTAAAATGCGATTACGAAAGCAAGAATAATACACGTGCGGCGTCGGCGATTGCGTTGGCAACGGTACTGGATAGGCGAAAACGGGGCGGGGTGCGGGGGCGCCAGGGGAAGCGCATTCCAGCGAGGTTCGCAGATATTTCCGACGGCTTGTATGTATATGAAATGAAATAAAAAAGTATGCCTAAATAATGTATTTAATATATTATCTCTGTAGCGTAAAAGAGCACGTCTATCGTTGTCATGCCCATGCTACGCCCTCGCCGCTCATGAGATCCGTGACGTGGGGACCCTGTAGCTGTTTTGTTTGTCTGGTAACGTTACATGAGTCACGAGTGATTGAAACGCAAGTTTACGTTCAACTTTAATTAGCTTTTCAAAGGTATTTTTGTAAAAGAAAAATATTGTTAGGCAAACACTTTTCACGAATTAAAATTATCAAGCACGAATCTATGTCACAGATCATTGACTAGATTTTACTAAGAACGCCACTGACAAGCAACGCAGCTGTACTGTCATTGTCATAAAATATATTATCTGTGAGAGCTTTGCTTTGCTCCATTTAAGCTTAAAGCTTTAGAGTTCCTTATTTTCTATTCGCGAGCTTTATAGGCTTGCCCGGGCTGTATTCTTGGAAAATACAATAATTTACCGTGCTTTAATTTCTTCAATCGTTTAGTTTAAGTTAATTTCAATAAAAGAGTGAATAATGGCTGAAGCCAACTATGATGACGACCCCGAGCTTTTTGAAGAGAAAAATGAGGACCCTGACTTTGGCACACCACCATGGGAAGAGGAAAAAAAGTCAGATTACTGGATGGGCGGTGTATTTCATTGTTTTTCGAATGTGGTGTCAATGTTTAAAGGCGAAGAATACAAATCCCTAAAAGGTAAGATGGTCGTTTCCTCGAACTTTCTCTAGGATTGCGCGGCTCGTGCATTGATGCAGTTTTCAAGGTTGCTGCGCTACGCAGATGAGGCTCGATTGATTTTAAATTATGTTATATTTATAACTCGTCCTGGGGATAATTGATTTCCCACATGCTATCCTGCTCTACATCACAGGTTCTCTGAGAGCAATGTTTTAGATCAAAACTTCATTTTACACTTAAATTCTGTTTCTTATTTTTTATAGCCTCATTAATGATTCCTTTGTGGTTAAAGAAAAATTCACTTTAATCAAGGGTTTTAAATAAATCTAAATATTAGTATTCTACAAGAGAAGGCAGTATTACCTTTAATTAATCATTATTTTTAAATAGATTTAATTTTACATTAACTCAAATAACACAACTTGATTTAAAAGTTATATCCTAAAATTATCAACATAAAAGTTACTAATGTGGTATAACTAATATGAGACAGATAAGGGTTCAGTGGGAGTTGGTTTAGATCATAGAGTCTGTAGAGGCTTATAGAGTCATAAGAGCTTGACTCTTTTATTCTTCTTTTATTATATAATCATAAATGAGCCCGGTGGGAGATGAAAGGATATTTTTAGGGCCCGCTGGAAAGCATTTGATTCTGCTACGTCTCCCAAATGTAATACATGCATTGGGCATAAAGTGTATTTAATTTTCGTTTGGAATATAATAGGTTCTATATTAGCATGAAAACAAGAATTAAATGGCTACTATTGTTTTTGTTTTAAAAAAAAACAGCTTATATGCCTTCCTTATATATAAACAAATAATAGAATGTGTCAAATAAATACATAAAGATTTTGGCCTATTATTTTTTATTGTTGCCTAATAATTAGGGACATAATATTTAAGGAAAATAGTAAAGGCATTAAATCTTTTTAGAAAATGTGGAAGTTCCAATTGAAAAAATAACAGACTTGTTTTACTTGGGCTCTGGAGCTCAAGGTGTGGTGTTTGGAGCACATCTAGATGGTGAAAAGGTTGCTGTTAAACAGTTACGCACTAAACATGAGACTAATATCAGACATCTCTTAAAGTTGAATCATGAAAATATTGGTTGGTATTTAATATTAAATTTTAAAAAGTCAATTAGTTAACATTTTATATAAAACATTTACCTTTTTTCTTTATAGTTGCTCGTATCTTATCATATCTCTCTTACAATAAAAACAATTCTTTTTTGAGCTTTAAGTATTTATTACTGCGTTAAGAGTTGGAAGTAGTATGTGCCTAACTTATTTGTATTTTGAGTTGATTATGTAAGTCATGTTTAAATTTCAAACTATTACTATATAATATTTTAATATAGTTCGCTTTCTGGGAGTGTGCACAAACCCTCCGGACTTCTGCATCATTATGGAGTACTGTCAATATGGATCACTGTTTGACTTTCTTCATAGCAACACTGTATTTATGCCAAAGCAACTATTGAAATGGGCTAAAGAAATTGCTCGTGGCATGGCATATCTACATGCTCATAAGATTATCCATCGAGATCTTAAAAGCCCCAAGTAAGTGACTGCTGGGTAATTGACCTGGAAAAGACTTTAATGTCCGTTACACATTAGATGTCTAATTTTATCAAATATTCTTTATATAGTTAATAGGAAATTGTTTAGATATATGCAATACATGTATTAGTGCTCTTAGTTTAATTTTGTTATGTAACTTAATTATAATTGTGAATTAGTTTAACATCCTGGTCGACAGAAAAGCTATGTCTAGTTTATGTATCCACCACACCATTATGAACTTCTTTTTTAAACTATGTAAATGTAAAATAAATATGGCTTGGTCTATAAAAAGAAAAAACAACTATGTATTTTAGCTTAAAACATTTTGGTTTGATTTTTATAAGTGTTTTCGGATTCTTAGCTGTTTTGAGGATTTAATCACCACCATATTTTAGCATACTCATCTCCGACGAATTGATGGTAAAAGTGAGCGACTTTGGCACAAGCCGTGAATGGAATGACGTCAGTGCAGTTATGAGTTTCACCGGCACTGTTGCCTGGATGGCTCCGGAAGTGATACGCCATGAGCCGTGCTCTGAACGAGTGGATGTTTGGTCCTTTGGTGTTGTCATGTGGGAGTTGCTCACTGTTGAAGTGCCATACAAGAACCTAGAGACACATGCAATTATGTGGGGCGTCGGCACCAACTCAATTGCTCTTCCGATCCCGAGCAATTGCCCTAGCAGCTTGCAACAATTGCTTAAACAATGCTGGAACCGTGTGCCGCGCAACCGGTAAGTTACTTAAAAATTTAGGATGCGCTTACGGCTTTGCCATCATTATTTAAAGTCCCTTTGATATTTTTATATGCAACAGAATAAACAAAATTATCAATATTCGACTTGACATAAAATGTTCTTCAACAATAGGTCATCCGCTGAAGTTCTTCGAATAAAAAAAAGATGTGCGTTGAGTTTTTTTTGTGTGAACTCTTGAAAGTCTATTTCTGAAATTATTCATCTATATATCTAAATTCAAACGCTCGCGAATGGCAATATTAATACTTGTTATTTCGTAAAATTTGCATGCAAAGCTTACCGTAGTTAAGTAAAATAAAATTGCGTTATTTATTATTTGATTCATACGGTATATTTAAGAAGTTTAAGGGATGGTTAGTTAATTTAACATAGCTTTGCGCATTTGAACTCGTTTATATTATTTTGGTAGTTTTTCATACAATATAGGTTGTTAGTTTCTGTTGGTCATTATACATTTAAATTCATGTTTGTGCAAAGTGCAAACACTACACAATTGGCTATAGAGATACTTTAACATGATGAGGAGTTAATATTTCTCATATAATTCTTAAGTATGCTCAGCGATAAATTTAAAATACATATGGAAGTAATAATATTGTGCACTATAGGCCGCCATTCAAGATCATAGCTGCCCACTTAGAGATGGCAGGAGGAGATCTACGCAATATGGATACAGAGACATTCAAAAACGTACAAAATGGATGGCGCGCTGAAGTTCACCAGTGCATGGAGCGTCTGTATGCCAGGTACGGTCAATTCTAGTAGTGTTGAGTATTTAATGTGTAAATACGAAAAAAGTATTGTAATACATAAAAATATTTTTTATTACAATTTTGTATTAAAAATTATAAAATGAATATATCTAATTGAAATTATATTTGTAATGAGGTTTTTTCGTAAAAAAATATTTCAATAAAGATTTTTCGATTTCGAGAAAGTCGAAGCGTCTCGATTTATATAAACTCTGATTTTTAATTCCGTAGAATACTAATTTCATAAGTGTTGCTACTAAAAAAGTTCTCTACCGAAAAAAGGACAAATTTGACTTAGGGAGCATTCAAGTATTACGTAAGGAATTTTGGGAGGGGGGGGGGTCCTTTTGTAAAACGTTACGATGCGGAGATTGAATTACGCGTTATTGTGAATATTATTTTCGACTTTCCAGTACTTTCCACCACATAATGGTAACTTTTAGGTATAAAGAGTCACTTGGTAGTCACGAAACGTTGTACTATAGTTGGGTACAGAAAAACGTTACGGCGCGTTACATGGGGGGGGGGGTCTTACGTACAAAAATGTAAATCTATATATTTATTTATTCAAGTGACCTTCTACAAAAATAAAAAATATTTCAATATCACGATCAATATATTGAATTAACTTTAATTACTTTATTTTTTTCTTTAGCTGGCATAACTGCCTACTAATTCCAGGTTAAGTAAACCTTTTAAAAAAATTAAATGTTGTCTTTACTTGTGCGTTTTTTACTGTTTGTGATATATATAGGAACGTAATTACCACTCGCCGTTAAACCACTTATAACGTGGAGCACAGCACTTAATAAAATGGATACATTAACCAACAATAAAATGTATGTGTAGACTCAGATGTTCAGACTCGTTTTGAAATTGAATAATGTACCCGGCCAAAAAGGGTTTGCACTTTGTCATCACTGACATGTTATAAAATGTATCTGTCAGAATTCTACGGAATTAAAAATCAGAGTATAATTGTAATCCTACAGTAGTCCCTCTCTACGCAGCAAGGTACCTGACGAGATGGTCCAAGTCCTCTCTTTAAGAACGTCTTCCATCACTTTCTGTCTTCAAAAACAAACATACTTCCTTCTCAAAGACCAGTCGTTCACAGAAACACAAATACTTTCACGCAAGAGAACACGGACGTTGTGGCTCAGCGTCGTGAAGATCTTAAGCAAGCTCGCGATCTTCGTTACGTTTATGAACAGCAAGTGTCGAGGGCTAACGAGCTGTTTCTAGAAGTCTGCGCTGTCAGACTTCAGCTCGAACAACGTGAAAGAACCATCGCTGAGTGAGTAATGTTTTATTTGTCTCCGATTGGAGTTTGATATTGTAACGCGTTGTTTATTTAAATTATTTGTATTAGATTTTATAGGATAATTGATCATTATAAATAGAAAAAATCATGGTAAAATGTATTATACAATTTATTAGTAAATGTTCATGTTGGTTTTTATAGGAAATAGCAAAAGTATGGAATTTCTCTTAATTATTTTTCGAGACGGCTTAAAAGTGGTGCCACTAAACTTATACCAGTTATTTTTTAATTACATAGTCTAAAGTCAATTTGATTAGCAGTTAGGAGGACGGCATACATGTCCTTATAGTTTTGAATAAATTTTTGTATCAAAGTTCCCTTCGGAAAGAAACTCCCTTTTAGCATCGGGGGCGAATGAGCGGAGATAAATGTCTCTTTCTATTGCCCATAGGAAAGAGAACGCATTGAACGAGTGTCGTTGCGGACACCGTGCTAAATTATTCCAGCGTCAAACATCATCTTCTTCTGATGGCATGAAAATACCGATTCTTGAGCAGCAACGCCGTCGCAAGAAGAAAATCGAGCCGGTTATTCCCGCTCAAGTTGTCGTTCAGTACGACGAAAAAAACTCCGACACCACAACAGTTGTCGACCACGCTGCTTGTCCATGCACTGAACAAGCTCGCTATTATCAGAACAACAACCAGATAAAGAAGGAGACTGTTATTGAAATTGAGGATAATGGGAATGTCATTGTCAAGGACACGGCCAATAATGATTTCCTTAACGATAATTATATTCCAGATGTTGCTCAAGTTTAATTTAATAGTTTCCGTATGATGGCAACACTAGTTTTTGTCTTTTTATTTACTTTGGATTTCGTGATTTTCTGTTTTTTGCGGCGCGATTCTAGGTTAAATTAAATATTTATTTTGTTTCTTAGTTTTTAGAATTATATTTTGGATTATAAAATATCCCTATTAGCCTCATTCGATGCCAATCGGATCTTATCAATGTTAGTAGAGTAGAATATCAATACGTTTGTTTGATAATCCTGTTGCTAAAAATGTTTAGTGACGGGATTGTAAGTTCTGCATTCGTGCTCACACGAATTTCAGATTTTCTGAAAGCATCTGCAACGGACACGTGAAAAACTATATCGCTATTTAGAACTGTTTCTTGATAAACATTTAAATATTAATCGTAAACAAGTATTCACTTTCAATTAAGTAAGTTGTTCGTTGATGTTGCTGTGTTTATTCAAACGTTACTTACAATACGTCTGGTTCTTCACAATACCTTTTCATGTCCAAGATCACCAACATTTTTTTAAATATTTAATTTTTAATAGATTCATGAAGCAAACATAATATAGTTATAAATATAATATCTAAATGCTTGTATATAGGCATTCAGCTCCACAACAGCCAATTTGTCTGTAACTTTCTCTGATGCTTCAATGAAAAACAAATTAAATTAACCTAATATTTTGAAGTTTTGTAATTCATTATACATATTCATCTAAGAGTTATACAGTTTTGGAATTAATCTTCCCCGTGAGTTTGTTTGTTTAATCCTTTTTGGTCTTGGAAAAAATGGGCACTTTATGGCCTGATGCACGATTTCGCGGGAATTTTTCACACAATAGCATAATATAATGATAAAATAGTAATAGCGTTAGTAGAAATTGTCAAGGCCTATACGGGCCTATGTTCTTACATAGAATACCAAAATGATAACTTATGCTTCGATTTTTTTTTGTGCTGGTCTTTCAGGCTTCAGGTTCTTGACCATTTTTCCGTACAACGTGGGTTTTGTTCCGACTGTTTAATGATTAAAATATAAGATTTCCTAACATACCAAAGACGTTTTAAAATAGAGACCACTGAAATTTTTAAACATTGGTCCAAAAATGAAAATACTACAATAAATTTACTGACCCTAGGCTTTAGTAGTGTGGAAAGTCCTGTTTTTGTACTCCAAAGATATGCCAAAATCTACGGAAGGAATCTTGAGCTTAAACTAATTACAATCGACAAGACTATGGCGTATTTTTGAAGTACTTATTTATACGTAGATCTATGAGTAGTAGTAGATATATTATGTATAGATTTAAGAAATTCATAGGATTTAGAGATACTGAGCAAAGATTAAAAGGAATTTGTTTTCTATCAGTCAGTATTAGCGCATGACGATTCACTTATAGATTTTAAAAATAGATAGATATTCTAAACACAATACAGCAGTGTTGGGTTTAACACTTGCTCTACGGTGTAGGCAACGTCGTAAGAAAACCGGCACGATTAGATACTTGTTTCTAAATACGGCCAATAGGGTCTTTCTATATGGTCGTTTCTTGTTGTTTGTAGCGCCACTGGATTTTTTTTCTAAAGACAAAGTGTTATTAACCGTAGCAACACGGGGTGGGGGCGGGTCTTGAGAATGGTCAGCATCTAACCCAGGGGTGAGCCGAAGCGAATATCACCTAAGCCCAAACGAAGTTTCCTTTGATTGTCATTGGTTAAATGAAAAGTCGGATTTTGTCGCGTGGATGTTAATTTTCTTCCTTCCCCCACGATAGGCTACTGGTACATATGGTATTTTTCATTATATAATAATTTTAAAGAATAATAATGAATATAACTTACAAATATTTCGAAGATATATTAAAATTGTTAAAACCGGTCAAAGAGAAAAAGTATGATATTGTCTTTTCAGTACAGTTGATGATTACTTAATTTTTTTGAACATTGCTCAGACGAGAGTTTTGGAGAACAGTATCCAAAACTTATATTATTATCTAAGTATTTATTTAGACATTTGATGTGTGTATTGTCAGTATCAGTAGAAATTTAGAATGTAATTCATTTCCACTCAGCATATACTATAATCTAGTCAGTTTAGATCTCATTTTAATTATTTTAAATAAAGATTATTTTTCTATGAACATTTCCTTATTGTTAAGAAATCGGCCTAAACTCTTGCTTTATTTTTTTTTTAATTTATGACAATTAATTTTTAATGCCTTCCTAAAATGTTGGGATTGAGTTGTGTGCGCAGGATCTTTTTTTTGGATTTTATTTTGTCTGCGCATAAAAACGGCATCGGACTGTTCGGTAAGATGTGCAAATGAGCTATTTCGCTATTTTTATATAAAAATATTTTTGTAGGTAACAATCAATTGTGCTCGTATAAGAATGGTATTTTTATAGTGTATGACTTAATTATAGGGGGAGTTGTAGGGTATAAAGCGGCACGTTAGATTTTTTAATCTTAGCTAAAAGTAGTATGGATTTGCGAGCGGTGCACACACCTTTTCTTCAATCTTGTGATAAAAGTGCTTAAATAATATTGAAAATATAATTCAATTGCAGTTACGGAGTTATACCTAATATAAAGTCAAATTATTGTTCGTAAATGAAAGTTGTAACGACTTATTTTTCTGTGCTAGGGAACGATTCGGACGGTCCGTTTGTGATGAGATCCCGATTTCTGTAAATATTAGACAGACTTACTTTATCTTAATTTTAAATTATACATGAAAAGTCAGTTGTAATTTAGAGACTGCGCTTAGTATAAATTTTTGAAGTGTTTTACTATTTCTATAAATTTACTATTTCTTAGGTTAAACCTTAAGTACCTTTTCTTTCATGAGCTCAAACACAATTTAGAGATTTTGTATATAACGATTTGTTTTAGATTTTTTGTCATTGCAAATCTGTAGTACAAATTTCTAGTCTTTACAAATGGTATGCAATATCAATTTAAATAGAACGATATATTCTATATTTTGACGTACATTTTTTCGTTACCTTCTCGTTCTATTGGTGTTTAATAAAAAAACAATCGAACTTGCAATGCACATTCACAGTTGCTGTATAATATTTTCACAGGCTATTTCCCCGTTATTTTGTCAGCGGAAGTATTGATTGAATTGCACGCAATAACAAAAAAAAACCGGAACCAAACGGTGCATATAAACAAAGGAAATGATATTCGAAATATCGAATAGTTTCAGTATCTTTGTTTATAATACCGTTACCGCGCAATAATTATTTGATACCTTCAAACATAAAAGATTAGTATTGTGCAATTTTTTTCTCTTTAAATTCTCTTTTTTGTTACCGGTATACTTTAAGTAAAAATGTACTAAAATGATGAATTGTATGGGCTTCTTTTGGGAATAGCGCTATGCGGCCTTTTCATTTTAATGTTTTAATAAAAGAATTTCACGGTAAAGACAATTGATTCGTACCTGCTCTTTAACTAGTCGATGTTAATCTAGTCATTAACCACCATGTATTGATGTTAAAGTGGGTTGTAATTGTATTTAATTCCTTTATTAAAGTGTAGACTAACGGAATACGAATCAGTCAATTTAATGATCGTCTATTAAGCTAAATGGTTACGTTAACTGAACATAATTCCTACAAATGCTAATGTATGGTTTACGTCAAAATATTATTCCTTTCTTTCCTTTCTGTGTGTCTATATATTCTTTCTTTCAAAGGATTTACTTTTTTCTATATAATACCAGGTTGTAATCGAGATGTAAATAGGCACAAGTCTTAGTTATTATAAAAACTTAAGAACGTTGTGAACCACTAAAGTTGTATATCTGCGAGAAGGTAGTCATCAATTACCGTAGAACATAAATACATTTCAGCGGTCATTTGATTCTTCAAATATAAATTCCAAAATTTGTTTTATAATATGTTCAATTATAAATAACGAGGTATTCACGTAGTGTTTTTTATATCTACTTTAGTAAGACCTATATATGAAAGGATTTCGATTATATGCTAATTAAATCCAATATTCGATGTTATCGTCAATATTTATGATAAGAAATTTACAAAATCGGTCTCCTTTCATTAATTAAATAGATTTAAGCAAATGTTATTTATAATACTTTAAGAGCGGCCTATGAAATTTCTATTGTCTAATAAATTTATATTTAATATCCCTTAATTAGAAGATTTTGACTATTTCAGTATTTAGTTTCATAAGTCGGTCGGTATGATTTTTTTGATAACATTCCAGAACAGATTCTTAACATACATTGTCTCATACATACTCTATAAAATTATTGTTCTTATATTAAATGTTTTTGTCGATTATAATGTAGATGGAATAAATAAAAGTGAATATATATTCGTTTTATTAACCCCTATTATTTTTTAAATAAAAAGCTACTGAAATTCTCTAACGAACGAATGTTAGTCAATTATTTCTGTAGCCTTTGAACCAAACGTAACTGAAATAATTCCTGTCCTAGAAATAATAATTACAGGATTAAAACTACTTAAATATGTGTAAAATTGAGGGTATTGCTGGGTATAGGTAATGCTTAGAAATTATAGATAATTGAAGATGCTAGGGTGCGTTTTCGACGACTGTCTGCGATTTTAACAGGTGTAGGGATTATATCACAAAGTTCATATAAAATGTTCATTAAACAGCTGGGTTTTGTTTTTTGGTAGTTTGAAAATTTCGTGATTTTGCCTTACCTTTGTGAATGCCTTGGAATATGTATGTCGAATTAGAATTTGCATTACTATAAATTCTAATGTGGTCCATCAAAGTTGAAAGTTAAATACAAAGTAAGGAGATAGGCTTTTTTATTATTATAGACGCAGAAATGTGTTTGTGGCGTGGAGCGTTATGAGAATCTGACTGGATTTTAAACTGAAAATGGTAAAAAACTTATTCGATAGATACCTACATCTAGTAACATTATGCACGTTATTGCTAATAAAACCTGACAAACCAATTTTCTTACAACAGTTATTGACTGATTAAATCCATGATAAATGAAAACTAAATATAAAATTGTTTCCCTGTGATGAGTAAAAACAGTGCAGTTTGATTGATTTTTCTTTAATATGGCTTAGTCTTCATGGATTTTCTTTTTATGAGAGGAGACGTGGTCTAGAAATTCCTCGTGCAATTTGTTTTATTTCTCATCTTTATTGTAAGAAATAAATCATATTTTTATTGTAAGATAGAAGATAAAAAGAGATTATCTTATTCCTCCATCATTGTTTAATCATAGACAACAAAACTGAACTAAATACTAGTTTTAATAAAAGTGTTTTGTTATGTAAACTGTAAATCTATTAACAAAATAGTGTAGTTGTCTCTCCGTGCTATTACAACCTGCAACAATTCTCTCAAGTAGACATTACATATTGAAAATAAATAAAAGAAGTACAGTGGTTCCTCGACATATGAGTTTAATTACGTAACCCCTTGCTCGAATGTCAAACTTCGACATCTCAAAGCAATTTTCCCCATTGCCATTAAATAAATAAAATAAAAATAAAATAAAGTTTGTTTATTATGGAACATAAGATACATGTATCACTTATTCCACGACATTAAATTTTAATTTGTAGGCATCCCTACTCATCGGAAAAGAAGACCGAGGGTGTAGGCCGAGAGAAAAAGCCGGCGTAAAAAACTCTCGGTACTCTTTTATCCGCCCCAAAACCCAAAACACCACCTCAGTTGTTTTTAAACAAGAAAATGATTTCACGCTTTAATTAATAATAATAATAATAATGGGTTCTCGCGTGACGGTTGCTCGCGGCGCAACTACCTACATAGGCTCCGTGCTGTCTTTCTTTTAAAAAAATACTACTTGTGATCAATGCGACTTTAATAAGTGTTAAAACGTCTAATAATACTACAAAGTAATAGATAAATGTATAGTCAGTGCTCAAGAGAACGAAACACATCAGGATTTTAAAGTGTTTTAACGAGGCTTCAACTGACGTGCCACGCTTTCAACAATCAAACGGATTCATGACACTTGCATTTTTGTGAGGTTGTGACGTCTAGTGCTAAAAGTGACTAAAGTGTCTTCTGAAAAATCTTAGTGCAAAACGAAATACAAATATTAAACAGACATTAGTCATCCATACGAACTGGTTACAAAATTATCTACTATACCAAACATTGGTTCAGTTCATCATAATCTCAGATAGCCACGTATATAAGGGTATCGACTACGTGATAAGCGGTCCAAGTTCGAATAATCTGACTTACACTATTTATGGATTTTATTTGCTCCTGCAAAACAAATATCGTAAGACAAATACGTCAAAACGCCCCCATCTAGTAAAATTTCTAGAATTAGGAAAATATAAATTTATCGATAATAATTTTAACTTCGTTGAAAAATTCATATTTCTTCGGATAGAGGGCACTGATACACTCAACGGCGGATCCAGGGGGGGGGTCATGGGGGTCATGACCCCCCCCTGAGCAGGACTTAGGTGGACCACTAATTGAACATAATGATTTTATATATAAATTTGTCACCATACAGATTATATGTAACTACATACCTTCAATATTTAATTAATTTAATATAATATAATAACATCATACATGATGGCAAACGTTTGGGAATGAACGCATCGAAAATTTGAATTTTCCGCGCCACACTTGCGCGCGCTTGTCGCTATGAAACATCTAGCTAGACCTTACCTCAATCGGAATCGGAACGACTAAACTTCAACATATCATAACATAGTCCTATTTTAAATTGTGACATCAATATGTATATAGGAAAATTGGATACCCTGTCAGCGAAGCGACAGCAGAAAGGTCTTTCTCTACGTTGCGCAGAATTAAATCGTGGCTAAGATCTTCAATGGTTGAAGATCGCCTAACCGGACTGGCACTTCTCCACGTTCATGGAAACGTACCCGTTGACGTAAATGACGTAATAACGCGTTTCGGAAAAACAGGCTAAAGAAAAATTGATTTAGTTATTAAAATATATGTATTTTGTCTGTTTCTATTTGTCTGGATGTCTTCAAGAGAAGATGGTAATATGTACGTGTATACAGGTTGGTCCAACTATTGACGTCAATAATTTTTTTTAGATTACTCACACCTGGGGGTATACTAAAATACCCCATGTACGTATATGTTCCGCGATTTTTTGTAGTTTTCGAGTTATACATTTTTTTGTGTTTTCTGCCAGCGAGGTTTCAAAAATTCATATCTTTTTTTGTTGTAGGTATTTCGCAGTTTTTTTCTGTTAAATGATTGCCTTAAATGATGTTCAAGTAAAAAAAATCCCAGCTTCTTAAAATTAGTTAAAGCTACTCAAAAAAGTTTTTAAAGTTAGAAGTTTATTAAGTGGATTTGACCAAACATTCGACTTCAATTTAAAAATACAAAAAGAAGTTTCCATAGCTTCTAGCTAAGTTTAAAAACTCCACAGGGTTCTAAGCTACCAAAATCATAGAAAAAGAATGGTACTACTACTAATTGGTCTTTTTTTGTTGTAATCGGTGGATTTTTTTTTGGTGGATAGGCTAAAAATCATTGAAGCATTAAAAATGTTTTTTTTTCGACTTATTATTCTTATGGTAAATTAAACTTAATAATGTGGTTTTTTAATTAATTTTAATACCCGTAAAATAAATGTAGCTGTAATCGGCCTTTTCATGTCAATCGGCAAAAAAATCATTGAAGCATTAAAACTGTTTTTTTTTTTACTTTTTATTTTTCTTATGGCAAAACTTTATGATATATTTTTTACTAATTTTAATACCCGTAAAAAAAGTAGCTCGTGTAATTCTTACAATAATTTTGGTCTTACCACTCAAAATTCAAAATGTTATTCGAAATGATTATTGCTAGTTGTGAAATTACCTGTTTTTTAAATAACAAATAAAAAACACAATTTACTGAAAAAATACTATTTCTAATATATAAAATTCTCGTGTCGCGGTGTTTCGACACTCGAACTTCGTTCGAACTTCTCCGAAACGGCTTGACCGATTCTCATGAAATTTTGTGTGCATATTGGGTATGTCTGAGAATCGGACAACATCTATTTTTCATCCCCCTTAATGTTAAGGGTAGTCCACGCCTAAATTATTACTTTTTAATTTTTAGATAAAGTTTTTTTTTTTCATGATACAACTTTAAAAAATACATACAACCCCCAATTTTCACCCCTCTACGATCAACCCCTATTTTTTATTATACATGGCAAAACGACGTTTGCCGGATCAGCTAGTATTATAATTTTCTATGATTTTGGTAGCTTAGAACCCTGCGGAGTTTCTAAACTTAGCCAGAAGCTATGGAAACTTCTTTTTGTATTTTTAAATTGAAGTCAAATGTTTGAACAAATCCAGCTAAAAACTAAACTTCTAACTTTAAAACCTTTTTTGAGTAGCTTTAACTAATTTTAGGAAGCTGAGATTTTGAAAAATTATTGATGTCACTAGTTGGACCAACCTGTATGTACACAATATTATGTGTTAAGTTTTTCAAGTGTACAATAAAGAATAAATATTGATAAGTGCAATACTTACGTACATTAATAAAATACCTACTTTTTACTTGTATCTATTGTTATCAAAATTAAATTATAAGTTCTTGACTTGACCACGACTATGTGACCCCCTCCTGGCACCAAAGCTGGATCCGCCCTTGAATACACATACTTGAAGAAATTAACCAAATGTTACTGAACTTACAGCAAGACATCAAGCAACAAAAACAAGATATGTTGGACATGAAAGAGGATTTAAAAAACACAATAATTAACAACATTCACAAGAAATTTGCAAACCTTGAATTGAAAAACGAACAATTAGAAAAAACTATTGAAGAACAAAAAAGTCAAATTAAATAACTTAGAAAGGCATTCACGACGAAAGAACCTAGTCATGTTCGGAGTAGAAGAGAGTGAGAATACTTATTTTGAATTAGAGAATATTATAGTAAATATAATAAACATGTTCTTTGAATTTCCATGTGACAAAAATAACATTGAACTTGTCAGAAGGTTGGGAAAGAAAGGTGATAACATAAGACCGGTTGTTATAACGTTTAACAGCATGAGTTACAAGTTACATATTCTGAAAAACAAATCCTGTCTAGAAAATACTCAGTACTACATTAAGGAGGATTATCCGATTGAAGTCCTTAATAGGCGGAAGGAACTCCAAGTCCAGTTACAGAAAGAAAAGGAGAAAGGCTATACTGCTTTTATAAGATACGACAAACTTATAGTATTAAAAGGCACATTTGAAAAAGAGAACCCCACCAAGAAGGTACTAGAAACTAGAAAACAACTACAGCCAAAAACAGAGGAAGAATGGAAAAAGGGAAACAAATATTTTTTGAAAGGAGACCAATTGGTGATTAAAAAACTGCAGAATAACCAGCGCGAAAAAAAGGAAGAGAGATAAAACTGTATCTCCCAACTTGTCTACACAGAAAAAACAGAACACATCTAACAAGTTTGAAAACACATCGACTAAAACTAACAATGTAGGACAAGAAGAAATATTACAACCAAACATACTACAATATATAGGAAGAGATAGATCGTTTTCGACCTCCGACATTTAAAAAAACTAACAAACACACGCGAGCAACCTATCAAAACAAAAACAACAACAACTAAATCCGGAAAAGCAAAACAAATATGGAAGAAACACATTCTAAAACAACCTAATCAAGAAGCCTTCCCACCACGGTTGGTCGCCGCGGGAAGATCAGACCACCACCCTCTAACAAAAAAACATAATATATACATAGCATCGCTCAATACTAGGACTTTAAGAACTCCTGAATCACTATCTGAGCTAGAAGTTGCGCTGAAAGACCTTAAATGGGACGTATTGGGACTAAGTGAAGTGCGCAGACCAGGAAATTCAATCGAAGAACATGAAGATTATATAATGTTCCATAAAGGCGAAATTGGAGGCCAAAGAGGAGTTGGTTTTTTAGTTAAAACCCACTTAAAAAACTCCATAGAAGATTTCATCGGTATGACGGAAAGAATAGCCATATTGCATTTAAAAATACCCAGCTTCAAAAAAATATGGTCAATCATCCAAGTCTACGCACCAACTGAACAAGCTGATGAACTAGAACATACATCCTTTTATAATACACTATCTCAAATCATATATGACTACTCTAATAATATTATTATCCTGATGGGGGATTTCAATGCGCAAGTAGGCGCTAGACAAAACGATGACGAATACATATTGGGAGAATTCGCCTATGGAAAAAGAAGTATCAATGGCCAACGATTAATAGATCTCCTTCTTGAACATAATCTTACAATTGCGAACAGTATCTTCAAGAAGAATAAAAACAACAAGTGGACATGGGTCTCCCCTGACGGAAAGTACAGAAATGAAATAGATTATATTATAAGTAGCCACCCAAAGCTATTTACAGACACCACAGTCATTTCTAGGTTAAATTTCAATACTAACCATCGCATGGTTAGAGCATCGCTCAAAATTGCGCCCCCTAAGATCCGTAGAAAGCACATTAACTTGTCTAGCAGAACCCATATCGCGGAAACTAACGAAACAACATCATACCCATTAGCAACTCAGACCAGAGTAACCGAAGAAACAGAAGAACTTGACATAAGAAACAAATGCACCAGACTTCAAAATCAACTTCGCTATGCTAATACTAGAAAAGAGAAGAAACAAAAATATATTTTGAGTGATTCTACCATGCAGCTTATAAATAAAAGAAAAAGTCTAATTGCGAACAAAAACGGCATACGGAATCTGAGAGAAATAGCCGAAATAAGTAAGGGAATAAGGAAAAGCATACGCAGGGACAGGAAAACAAGGAGAATACAAACACTCGAAAAACACATCATTGAATCAGGCGGAACCAAAAAAGCTCTTAAAGAACTTCGTGAAGCGACTCCTTGGGTACCTAATCTCAAAAGAAATCAAATTAACATCACGAACCGCAAAACTATAGTAAAGACAGCATCAGATTTTTACAAAAATCTATACTCCAACCCAGCTATCGCAGGAAACGAACAGTGCAACAACTACAAAACGACGATATACCCTTCAAACTTAGAACCAGATATATTACAAAGTGAAGTCAGGAAAGCTATATTAAGCCAAAAGTCAGATAAGGCACCAGGTCCAGACAAGATCACGAACGGATTACTGAAAGGAACGCTAAAAGAACTGGTGCCCATTCTGACGAAAATCTTTAACGACATCCTAACATCAGAACAGATTCCTGAACAATGGCAAACCTCGCACATAATTCTTATATACAAAAAAGGATCAAAGGAAGACCTATCCAACTATAGACCAATAAGCCTGATGTCAAACATATATAAGGTTTTCTCCAAGATATTACTAGATCGATTAAGCACCACATTAGACGAGAGCCAACCAATGGAACAGGCCGGATTTAGGAAAAACTTCGCAACGATAGATCATATACACACAGTCAAACAAATCATAGAAAAATACAGTGAATATAACAAAACAGTGTATATGGCTTTTATAGATTACACCAAAGCTTTTGACAGCATCAAACATGAAGTGATTTGGGAAAGCTTAGAAAACCAAGGAGTATCCGGGGCCTATATAAACATCATAAAACAAATATATGCTAACTGCAATGCAAGAATACAAATGGAAACACTCGGAAAGACATTTAAAATCGAAAGAGGTGTCAGACAAGGGGACCCATTATCTCCCAAGCTATTTTCTGCTGTGCTTGAAAACATATTCCGAAAACTAGAATGGAATGAATTTGGACTAAATATAGATGGGAGAAAACTACATCTTCTTCGATTTGCAGACGACATTGTATTGTTCGAAGAGAACCCTCATAAACTTGGAGAAATGATACAAGACTTAAACAAAGAAAGTGAGAAAGTAGGCCTGAAAATGAACACAAGCAAAACAAAGCTACTATCAAATTCAGTCCCATACGAAATAAAACTTAATAATCAACCTCTTGAATACGTTGAAGAGTACATTTATCTGGGGCAAATTATCTCTCTAACTGATATAACCACCTGGATAATGGATGGAATAGATATTGGTCACTGAGGGAGATCATGAAAACAACAGATTTCAGCAAAAAAATAAAGAGAAAAGTCTTTAACACATGTATCCTACCCTGCCTTACCTATGGCTGCGAAACTTGGGCACTATCTAACCAGCACAGGGATATGTTAGCACACTGCCAAAGAGCCATGGAAAGAAGCATGCTGAGCATAAGAAAATTAGATAAACAAATAAACTCAGACATAAGAGCTAGAACAGGTGTGACAGACATTCTCACTAAGATCGACCAAATGAAATGGAGATGGACGGGTCATATGCTACGGAGCCCTCATGAAAAATGGAGCAAAATTGTGACGGAATGGTACCCTAGAGACGGAAAACGAAGAAGAGGTCGACCACGCAAGAGATGGGAGGACGAACTGAAACTAACAGCAGGCTACAACTGGAGAAGAGTCGCAAATGATAGAGAACAGTGGAAAGGGTTAGAGGAGGCCTTTGCCAAGAGGCAAACCGAACTCCGAGATATACTGGAGTGAAAATATATTAAAGTTCAGATATATAAAATGTCAGAGTTTCGGAATTTAAAGGCTATATTATTATTATTATTATATAATAATAATTTATTTTCTCCCATATAACATTTACAACAAACAACAAGATTACACTAATTGAATAGACATCATATTCTTCGGACCCATGGTAATAAAAATAAATGTTATAATATTTGTAAAATGTACAAAATGCATACCACGCGAACCTAACATCATAAATGCTTTGAAAACGAGGGAAATAAGCAAACAGACAGGTTTCTTCTGAGGTAGGAGAAACTGTTAGAGTAGTGTGCGATTCCTCGTATCACAAATCTTGCTCTAATCTCAAAGGAAAATATTGCATGATCCGCTGTTGGATTCTCAAAACACGTTTATCGAGGTACCACAATACTAATACGTGGGTAACACTAAAAATGTTTAGAAACATTGCTAAAGAAAACTTTTTTTGAATTAAAATTTTAGTACTTTTTGGTAACCTAATGTAGTATATTGCATTCATTTGTCACTTGTTTATGTGAATTGGCGGCAAATCTAAAACTCTTGTTACACGTGAAAATGAACCTAACGCGAGAAAATTTTCGGTCAATGATTTATTATGACATTCGTTGTGGGCTTACTCAACAACAAAGCTATGATAGGCTGCGATTAGCATTTCTTAATGAAGCCCCGTCTCGTGCCACTATTTACAATTGGTTTAACGAGTTTAAGCGTGGGCGTAGCAATCTCAATGAGTGAGGGACGTCCTTTAACAGCGACTACTGAAGATAACATCGGTGCTGTCCGACGCATGATAGAGGAAGATTAGAGAGTGACCTATCAGCAGATACGGGCAAGCCTAGCCTAGGCATTGGTATGAGTCAAGTTAAAAAAATATTACACGAACATTTAGGCGTCAGGAAGCTTTGTACCAGATGGATTCCCAATACTTTAACCAGAAACACCTTCGCATGGACTGGTGTCGCCGAATGGTAGATAAGTTCAACGGCGGTGACTCAAATGCTGTATTTGACATCGTCACAGGCGATGAAAGCTGGATATATTGCTACGAACCCGAAACCAAAAGACAATCAGCTTAGTGGGTATTTCCTCTCGAGGATCGGCCAACTAAGGTGAAGAAAGTCAAGGAAAAAAGGTGATTGCCTCATTCTTTGGTCGGAAACTACATTTCGCGACAGTTGTGCTAGAAGATGGAAGGACAGTTACTGTAGACTGGTATGTCAATCGCTGTTTGCCTGTTGTCTTGGAAAAAATTTGAGAGCAGCGCCCTCAAAGCAGGATCCTCCTTCACCACGACAATGCTTCAGCGAACTCCGCAAGACGAACTGTTGAATATTTGACTATGGCAGGTGTTGAGATAATGAGTCATCCGCCATACAGTCCTGGTCAGGACTGTCCTGGCGCCCTGCGACTTTCATTTATTCCCAAGAACTAAAGATAAAAAACTAGGTATTTGCTTTACGAGTCCTGAAGATGCGGTGAAAGCGTAAGAAAATGCCATAGAAGAGACCCTTAAGGAAGAATGGGCCCACTGCTTTTCGTAGTGGTTCGAATGCGATGATGTGTAGAGAGGAACGGAGATTACTTCGAAAAACAATAAATGCATTGGCAACTTTCTACATTAAGCCATTTTTTATTTTCTAAACATTTACAGTTAACACTAAAAATTTATACCTAGGTAACCCTAGGTATAAAGATATGCGGAAATAAGTCTTCAGCCTCGCTATAGTCTTAATTGAGATATGCGCCCAAAAGTTTAATACGAATCAAAAAGGATTAATTTAACTGCAATTGAATGGTTGAGTACTCAATTTAATTAGGACCATCCAATAGTGTGTGTTGTTGTATTCCTAGTATTTGTTAATAACCTACTGTCCAAATATCGGCTTTTTACAAAGCGGATATTACGACTAGCACCGAGATTAATATTTGCTTAGCTTTGTAAATTGAATTTTGAATAGCAACGTTTATATTAAATTTATATTTACACTTAAATGCACACATGCCAGTCATAATAAATATACGCAGTGAAGGTTCCACAACTGAGCGTTTCTTAGGCAGTTTTTGCCGCGCACCACCACTATGGGGCACTAGGTGCGCACTGAAGTATTTCCGAATCAATTCAAAATTCGATTCCTCCAAGAAAAGAGCGCACCGAGTCTTAAAAATCCGGCAACGCACTTGCGAGCCTTCTTGCTATGTGAGTGCCATGGGCGGCGGTAGCACTTAACATCAGGTAAGTCTCCTGCCCCTTTGCCTCCTATTAAATAAAGAAGGTACTTAAAAGAACTTGGTGATATATGATACAAGAAATATTGGTGACGATGTTGAAAGGTTAGATTCCAGACTGATGTTAGAAATAGAAAATGGTTTGAACTTTGAACATAGGAATGAAGGTTCACGTTTTGCTTAGGGCTATTCATTTCTCATCATCAACAATTTATTCTATCTTCCTGAATTTATGAGGAGTCCTATGTCGCTACCATCGACCAATCCAGCAACAGCTTCTAATTATGTATTATATATGTATTAAAAAAATGCACTACCAAAATAGAGAAGGAAACATGATTTAACTAAAAATTTTAGGTTTTATTTAGAAATTACCTATATAAAAATACTTATTCGCCTAATACGGATTAAGTACCCGATAAGTGCTTAAGGCCCTATCCCAGCACGAATTTGCTGTGTCAGTCAGTGTCTCGGGGTGGAGAGCTGGAGCACTGAGGCGGGCCCGTAATTACAATTAGTATGTAAAACATTGGATTAATGCACTTTTATCAATTTTTGTTCTTAAATGGATTACTTGGCTTGCGATAAAATATATCGTGTAAATTTCAAAATAATGTTCTACATACATTTTCGTCATAAAATGAATTCAAAGTGTCAAAAATTGGCTATGTTTGGCTTTTTTTTCTATCGAGCGAAGTTATTTAAATCGTGTATCGACCTTTCAAATTGGATACATAAACTACTCAACTGCACCATATATTTTTTTCATTCGCCCTATTTCAAGAAACGATGAAGAAAAATGGAAAGAAAAAATGTACTTTTTTGGAGTTTGGCCACCAGATCGGTCCACATAGCTTTAAAATTGATCAGCCAACTGCCGAATATTTCAAGCTCTGAAAAAGTAGTGTTCATTCTGTTGTATTTGCGAAGAATCCTGTGCCTGAACACTTAGGTTTACAGACGGAAATTGGATGATTTGGATTTTGGATGATAGAGATCTCCAATCGTACAGTGACATTATGTGAAATTTGCTTGATTCTATCCGCCTATGAGACAATTCTGTAATATTCAATGCAAGTATGAGAATGATCTTTGAGTACTTTCATTGCGTTCCGAATGGATCCATATAATGCTACCGTATTCAATATGACTGCGATATTTTTATATGAGCGTTTTACAATTTTTTTTAACATTCTGTCAATAATTACACCCAAGTCACGAATCTCCTGAATCTCTTTCAACGGAGCAGCAGCAGAAAACAAGCAGTTTCTTTGGTGTATTTAATCGCGCAATGTAGGAAGTAGGCTCAGCGCCTCCAACACTATTGACTGAGGCCTTCTAAACTGAATAAAATTTAAAACCCAGAACCACGTTGCAAATTAATGTGCATTTGGATAACACATGTGAAGACAAGATATTGGCGAAATATTCGCGTACGATACGCCACCAGTGTTACATTTTTTGGTATTATTTATAGAATGTGAACGGGCGGCGATGTAAGAACGCAGTATGGCGCGCGCGCTCCGTGCGTAGTCATGGAAGCACCTGCCTTCCCAAGAACTGGAGTCCAGACGACCCGGGCAGCCCCCGGGAGCGAGGCCTGCATTGCTTTACCCCTACCTATAGGAACACCACCCTTCACATACGAATGGTAAGTAGAAATGACTTCTTAAGTCAATCAACGTCTTAGCGTGTTTAAAATAAAGCGTATAGTCGTATAACCGGCACACCGGCTCGCGTTGTTTGTTTTTAGTGTGTATTAATATCGACTAGGACGACCAGTAGTCACTTGACACTAACATACGCTTAATATTACTTTAAATAACATTAGGAGAACTAGATATTCTCTGGAACACTTAAATGTCAATAAGTGTTCACACACACTGTTCAGAAAGTTGCCAATATAATATAATATGAGTACTGAAATCTTTAGACTTCTCTTTCAGTTCGTATGGAATAATGAAAGGTAATATAATTAAACTATTCTTAATCCACCTGCTTTAAATCTCAAACTAGATCAAGGTTGCATGTTGGATATCAGGACTAGTTTCGTTGTTTATGAAAATCCTATTCTTTATAAAGATACCACCCATTTATACACGATTTGCTGTCATGTTCAGTACTTGTTACTAGTCCGAAGGAGAAGCCAAACAAATCAGCTATTATTTATTGGTCTATGGCGATACAGACAACAGTATTTGATACATATGCATATATTCTACATTGTAAATAATTATAACCAAAAACAAGAAGTCTTTAGAAGTCATAATTAATAATGTTGTTGTCTATCGTCTCCAAGGTCATGCGTAGCTCCGTGAATAATTGTCTAGGTGATCGGCTACGACAGCTGATTACTTGCCTAAAACCTCTGTTTATAATCGTGCATATTTTTTATATAAATTAGACATAAATGAATTTTTCAATACATTTTCAGTGCTCACATTTTTAAAATCCAAATAGAGGTTAAGATGCTTTAAGCGCTACATTAGGCGCTTGGTACTAATTATTTATTTCGCAAACGAAGATCAAGGTCTCGTAGGTTGTCTGTGCAATAACTTTTTGGTCCATGATTTGCCGGTCTCACGATGTTTGTGATCACCATGAAAACCTCTGGTTTAACCCTGCCCCATCATCAGTCTAGCAATACTGTGTAACACACAATTAATTTATATACAAGTATTTCTTTGGCGTTCTCGGTAAGTTTAGCATAACTGTCTAAACGAGTGTCCTGTAAGTTGACTGTTTCACTGTCCACAATGTTCCTTTCTAGTGCGAGTAAATCACAACCATTCTTCGATATTTTGCTTCTTTTAAAAAGAAAATTGTCCTTCTTTGATAGCTCAAGAAATTCTCTTTTCCTTTATTATCATTTTCTTTTGTATTTCTGATTTCATGTGAACTCAATGGTATCGGATCTCAATTAGCTCCAAATGATGTCAGTTTAAAGCAAAAATAAATATGAGACTACAAGCCATTTTACATTACAGCGACATCTTTCGACGATCTATAGAATGCTTATATGGCGCCATCTTGTAGTGATCTATGAAACTATGACACTGCGTTCAAAGTAAAAATCTTTTCATTTCTCAACATCGTTTTATTTTAAGTAGTGCATAATCGCGTATAAATTTAACTTCACTATCACTTTATTTATATACTTGTATTTTGGATCTGTAGCGTAAACGCGTGACTTACTAATAACATTCGAGAATAAACAAAAACAGCGGCGCTGGCGTCGCTCTTTTAAAAATATCTTGCTTTTAAGACAGTCCGCGTCTGACTATCGCGTACTCCGAAACGATATGCGCTCCCGCCATGGGCAGTAATTGTTGTAAGGGTGACGCCGCGGGCAAACCTGTGGTTCGGTCAAACTCATCTATATACACCAGGTATAACGTGAGCCCCTGGGCTAGTGGTTGTGCTGTGATCGTCACCTGGCGAAGACAGCTCATCATTAATTTGCATTTGGTGATATAATTAAAAATAGCCGTTACACTTTAGATCATTGCCAAACTATTAACGATTTTATTTAATAATTTGAAACATATTGTATATAGAGAATCTGTTTTAAAATAAATCTTCTATGAAATGTTTGTCAAGTATCGTAAATTATACCGCGTAATTGTTTGAATTTCCTTTGGTAAGTGTTTTTAAACATACTTTTAAGTCCAATGGGACACATGCTATATAGCCTATAACGTAGCAAAAACTGTGCGAACTACACATTTACATGCAAACCCTAAAGCAGAATGAATTAATAAACGCTTAAATTTTGTTAACAGCTAATAGAGCTTCAGGCGAAAACACAAATGTTTAAGTTTTAGGTTTTATGACGATTTGGTTTACTCCTATGAAATAAAATGTTAAAATCACTAGTTATTGTTTCTTATATCTACAGTGTCAGCGATCGAGCTATTTCGAGCGAAATCTGAACGAAATCTGATCGTCCTTAAATAAGTTAATATTATTATTACATTTGGTATACCATAGTTTACCATTATGTTCTAATACTTCAAGAGTATGTAAGTATAAATGAAGGCGCTCAATTACCTATGCTAGGCTCTCATTGACGCTACATTGCTTTTACTGTCATGTTATATTTAAACGCCACATCAAACATATTAAACCTTCATGATTACTTTTACACTGCTAAGTCAAATTAACCAAATCAATTCAGTGTAAATTGCGGTCGTTTCATATTAAACATGCAATATAATGTGAAACATAAGTACATTAAATACTGACTATTTCGTTTGAAACGTTGAAATGACAAACGTTTCAATACAAATAGCAATATATCGAATTTAATTTCGGCGATTTATTGCATTTGAATTTACGGTCCACTTATTTTAAAACGTGTATTTACATGTTCTCATATACTTAGAAATGTATTCGTGGGTATATAGTAAATTGATGTGTTGTTTCAAATACACTCATATATACAATAACGATCCAGTGACATTATAGGTACCAGTTAGAGTAGATACTTGCGACTACTAGTCAAATAAGACCTAACCAAACCGTTGTCTCCCTAGTTTGCAAGTGCTACCGATACAGATATCTGTTACGGTTTCGTGATAATATTTTGTTTCTAAATAGGCATGTAGGTGATCAGCGCCTGACACACGCCGTCGACATTATGGGTCGGTTACCTCACGATGTTTTTCTTCACCGTAGAAAAGAAAAGCCCATTCGCGCACAGCCCCACATTGTTCTTGTGATACATAAACTTAACCTTATTATTTACATTTTTTATTTTATTTTCACGGCTGCGCTTTCACCCTGAAATGTCATAAATATAGGTCAGAGACAAGCGTTTCAAAGATTATATTCGCTTTCAAGATTCGTTTTTTATACGATTGCCCTGTATAGTGTATTACCATTTCTACGTAATACAGAAGAAAAAATCGGGATACTAAAATTACCTAAAAAAATGACAATGTAGAGTTTGCGTAAGGCACAAAGTTTTAGGATTAGATTCAGGGAGAGTTACTCTTACGCTTAGTATTTTATCCATATTCACGCATTCTTCTCGTAGTGCAATCCAGGTATACCTGACAAGGCCTGCCCAGCCCGACTTCATCACCCAAGATTGCCTTGTACATCCTACTTGTAAGCCGCTTTTCATTCATCTTTCTTCTTCTCACTCATTATTTTCTCATCTTCGTGGCCACCTAAGCATTCCCTTTCGTATCCTTGTCACTCCAACCTATCTTAACCCATACTGCTACGTTTAAGTATGACTTTTATATTACGCTAAAGAGTATTGGCTTCTGACATACGGAAGAGGAAATTCCTATAATTCACGAATGTCTAAATCTAATAGATACGAAAGTCTCACTTAGCGCTAAGTCACGTTTCTAAGTATCATCCCTTAATCTTACCCTCCCTCTTCTAGTATGTATACGTTTTGGATTATGACATACGAGAGCCATAGTTCGCCCTAAGTATCCACTTGAAATCTTCTCTAAGAGATATATTAACATTAATATACGTGTTTATATGTACTGGACTGATCCGCTTAAGTTTGCCATGTCATACGTGAATTCTAAACTAATTTCCTGGTACAATCTAGAATATCGTCGATCGAGTGCTCTTGCGTGAATCCTTTTGAGCATTTTGAAAGGGTTCTACCTAGTTAATTGACATCCGACTCTCGACTCGGTCGAAACATTACAAGTCCTTCTGCTGACTGGGTTTACAACGATAAGCTAATTTTTAACTTATCGTGGATGTGGATATGGTTCGATATGGAGAATAATCTTATTACATTTATAGTTTACTAAAAATTACATACATTATTACTCTTGAGAAGGTAAACTTTAACTAAAATAACAGTTTTTATTGTACGATTATAAAATAAGTAGTTTACAGATTCTATTTTGTATTACCATTTTGTATTAACATTTTGTATTAATATTTTGTATTAACACACCGATTTTTATACAAGACATTGACAAAATACAAAACTGTTGATTAATTTTTCTTAAAAAAAATGTAAATTAATAAAATCTTCATTAGAGATGTTGGAAAAACTATTGGTCAAAAACTTTATTAAATGCGTAGAAACGTTCAAGGTTTGATTTCAAAATAGAAGACTCTTGCTCCTATTATCAGTTTTAAAAATATTAAAAAAATTTGTTTCAAAACTCCGTAAAGTAATTATATAAATTATTTTCTCCTTAATTCATTCCTGTTGCATTTGGTTTTTGTTCTCCAAACTGAGGAAAGAAAATCTATGAGATGGGGCTATGTGGGAGTTTATCTTTTGTAACAAAACAAAGATGGAGGCGTGTTTAAGATGACCTTCAGTTATGGTTGCTTATTCTTATTGAACGATCAGTGCATACATAGTAGGCATGTTTGGCTTTGGTAGCCATTTGCGCAATTCTGAAATTATCTGGACACCTGCCAAGGTCCATGTGATACAGAAACAAATTCTATGTTGCTTCCCTAACAGATAATAGATTTGTGTTTTTTTTTAACATTGTGGTACAATCGGAACCAAAATTAATCAAACATATTAAAAGATACCGGCTATAAATTTTTATTAATTTATTTCTACTCATAAATAAAATGTAATCTAGAACCTACCGACCGGCTACATCGAATTGGAAAACTGACCGGAATATTACATTCACTAAGTCATCA